AATGGTTATAGGCAATATTAAGTCCTGAACATTGTTTATCAGCAGCCGTGCTGCAGGACGCAGGAGCAACAAGGTTTCAAATTCCATGGCAGGGACATGGGCTGTGTTTCTCATGCCAGTCCCGGGTTCACATGGAGAACACACATGGGCCCCTCACCAGCCCGAATTCCACTCAAGTCAGGGCTGCACAAGGCTGCCCTCTGCTCCCCCATGGCATGGCAGCTGCTAGATCCCAGGGTGCCTTCCTTTGCAACCGCTTTCCAAAGGAGCCTGCCCAGCTCCATTGTTTCCTCCATGTCGTTTTTTGAAGGATAGGAGTAAAATCATCTAATTCTTGCAGAATGAACATTTTTTTTTTGGAAAAAAAATAAGATCTTGAGGTTTTGCTAGTAATTTGGAAGAAAACATCATTCCGAAGGCTGAAATCCCACACAGTATGGGGTAACTTTACGTTAGATGTAAACCTACATACTGTTGTAGAGGTGTTCATATTGTATTTCCTGCATGACTTTTTAGATCCTACTAGACTAGACTATATTAGACTAATCTCAGTGGAAGGGACCTACAATGACCATCTAGTCCAGCTGCCTGACCAATTCAGGGCTGACTAAATGTTAAAGCATGTTATTAAGGGCGTGGGGCATTGGTCACCTCTCTAGGATACCTGTTCCAGTGTTTTACCACCCTCTTAGTAAAGAAATGCTTCCTGTATGTCAAGTCTGAACCTCACCTAATGTAGCTTTGGATAGGAGACATTCACAGGTGAGTATACATCTCTTCCACCAAAACCTCATCATATTTCTTCTCCCAGATTACTTCAGGCTGGTCTATTTCATATACATTTTTGTGTGTGTTTTTAGTCCTCGTACATGATGTTCTTCAGGTACATCCTGAATTTCAAAGGGCCCTCTCAGGTGTGTGAATACTGGCTTTGTCCAAACATGGTGGTTTATGGGACTGGCATCCTTTGGAAGCTTTGTGCTGTCGCTTCAGAAATATAACAGTTCTCTGCAAAAAGTCCTCTCAGACTTCTTTTGCTAACCCAGAGAACTCACTGAAGTTCATAAATAAAGTTGTTCCTAGAAATCTTTGTGTAAGTCTATATTTGCATCACATGTGCTATTTCTACTGACTTTGGTTTATGAAAGAGAAGCATGGTCTAAAAATCTTGATTTGGCATCCTAATGTAATTTAAAAGAGCTGATAATGTTTTATTTCCAATAAAAATAAAGTACAAATATAGTCAGACATAAATATAGAACATGTGCATATATATACATACACACACACTATATATCTTCTTTTGTTATCAAGGCTATTAGGCAGGCTTATTAATGTTGATAAAGATTCAGTCGTTCTGTTTAGTCACTCCTACACCTTTCTGCAATGGCTAAATGAAAAAAAGTCTGATTTCAATTACAAGAAAACCCCCAAAAGACAGGAAGAAGTTATCCTGTTTACTGTAGGTCCTTGTAGGCTGGTTGGATTTCAGTGCCAAATTACTTTTTTTTTTTTTAGCTAACATGAAAATTATTTATTTTTCTTTTTTTTTTTTGGTAATGAGTTGAGTGAAACTTTGGCTTTACATGGGGAATTAACTGTGCAAACTCAGTTGCCATAAGTGTTCATCCCAGCTGCTCTTCTCCCTGCAAGACAGCAGGCTACTCTGTGTTTGACACTAGCACCATGCGGATGGAAGAACTGAACTCACTTCTAAGCCTATTTTAACAAAGGAAAAACATAGACTAAATCCATACTGGCAAATTAAACATGACCAGGAATACTGTCAAGCACTGATGCCAGAAAACACAGACCAGTCCATGTCTGAAGTGGTAACCTGGCTCACCATCTAAAACAAAGTGACTTTGTGCAAGGCACCTTTTGGGAATGATCCCTGAAATGTTCTACATACCAAATCATGCCCCAGAGTTATTTAGGGATAGTGCTAGCAACAATACCAGGAAGTATCCCTATAGTTTACCAACCTAAATGATTGTATTGCAGGGCCTGGCAATGCTTAAGGGCTTTGTCATAATATTGTACCTTCTGACCAGTACATGGCTTAAATCTTCAGCTGATGGGCAGTATATGGAGAATTTAAGTCAGTTTTCCAAAGCCAACACAAGAATACCATCGCATCAGAAAATCTATACATGGCTAGACAGTGAGTTTTGCTCATCCATCTGAAAAGCTGAAACACAGAGAGTTCCTGAAGTGTATGTGAAAGACAAGTTGTTGCTAGTGCATGTCTTCATGATCTGCACTGAGGATGGTATGGCTTGCAGTGCTCTCACTGCAGCATGAATACTTGGCATTACTTGGAGCCCCCTTATGAAACAACACATTTTTCCTGACCTCTGCAAAAAGTTGCTACTCTGTGTTAGCCACTTCCTTACAGCCATTATATCCCCAGAAGCTCATCTCCATGGTATATTTGTTGAATGAGTACCAAAGAGACCCTAAAAATTAAAGGAATGTGCTTCTGATTCACTCCTCTATCCTACTGCTGCATACTCATAAACCGAGAGGTCAAAAAAAAAAAGACTAATTTGGGTGTACATATGTCTAAGAAAGAAGAATGTAGTGCAGATGGCAGCACATATTCTCTTCAGCCCTGCAGGGAGTAAGCGACTGAAGGGAAGCTAGCGTGGGCACAGGAACGAATGCATCCAAACTTGCCTTTATTGCATTTGGGCAGGAAACAGTCTACTTCTGCTCTATCAAAACAGTAAGGTCCAAAGACAGTTTTCAGAATGAGTAGTGGGACAACTTCCTTCCAACCCTGAATAGTTTCTAAGTAAAGTTTATTATTATTCCCAAATGATATTATTTGCAATGGTAGCAAGAGAACATGTACTAAGCAATCTGTGGACCTCCAGTCATAAGTTCCTACTGGCAAGCCAGAGATGATGCGCTTAAAAATCTGTCCTTGAACTGCTTTCTGGATTGCTTTGGCACCAAGACAATTCAACTGGGAAAGTCAAGATTTTTACTGAATAGCTTTATAGCAAGCTGCTGGAATCACTTAGCAGTCAAAAACCTTGCTTCAGTTATCAGACTCTATAGTTTAATGGGCATCATCGGAAAAGCAAAGCAGAAATTAAACAAAAGCAAAATAGGATGCCCTGACCAGAAATTCAACTCTGCCCCATAACAGTTTGGTATTATATATACAGCTAACTTCTGCAGTTAAACTGCATGCCACATTTTACCTCTAACTCATATGTCAACACAATTTACTAAGCATTAAATGTAGGAACACTTCTCACTTCTGCGTGGGTCTGTGAAAGTAAAGTGAAGTTTGCAAGGGAAAAAATCTGCCTCTTGTTCTCTAAACTTTATTACTTTTACAGATTCTTTTTTTTTTTTGAGCTGTGTAAGATTTTTGTACTTCTAAAGTAACCACTTGATGAAAAAGACCCCAACACCATTTGCTTTCTAAAACCATACATTTCTAACCATAAGACCACATCACGCTATATGGAAGCAACTCCTAGTAACATCAATTCGTGCAAATTGCATGCAGAAAAAATCAGAAAGCATTAGCTCCCCCTTGCCTGCGCTCCACACAGCTTGACATTTGTCAATGTTTTTTTTTTTTGACTGAGAACTTCTTCTCTTAGGCAGTCTTGGAAGAGTTTCAGCTTTGTCCTCCACTGTGCCCACACAACGCCTCTTGGAGGTGCTTGGAGGAAAGAGGAAGGAGCTCTTTGAGGGGCAGAGAGGCTGATCCATCTGGGCTGTATTCTGTAGCCTGACACTAGCTAAATCAAGTGTCCAGTGACCCTTTTGGGAAGCAGCCTTGCAGGTAGTTTTTTCTGAAAGGTTTTGGAGACTCTTGGTTTCATTTCAATGACAAAAGTGTTTGTGGTATTTTTATGACCTTGGTTTCTGATCACTGGTTGACACCTCAGATGTTCTTGGCTTCCACCTAAACTGGCTACCTTAGTGATGAGTCACAACCTACTTTCACCTGAGGGCAGGATTCAAAAATGTCCCTTGTGTGTTAGTGGTTTGGTTTTTATTCATTCTCAGATATCACAGTGAGAAAGGAGTTCTCGCTGAGTTATACCACAGAAAGCCACTGTAATCCTCTACAAGCTGAACATTGTGCCTTGTGGGTGTTAAAGAAGATTAGTACTCACTATGAGGGACACTGAGACAGGGAAGAGGTTTATTCCCTAAAGACTTTTTGTATGTTTTTTTTTTTTTTCTCTCTTGACACACTTAAAGTTAGTTCAAACCATTTGTGAGAGCTTGCTTTCCTTGAGACATCATATTTATGGCCCAGCTCACAGGCAGTTAGTTTGCCTGCTGTTTCATAGTTAAATACTCATGTTTCACAATGTTTTAACCCATAGGGCTTGGAATGACTGGTAATTTGTCTTCAACAGTATTTCAGTCAAGTTCCTCTCTCTGGACAATCCAGATCTGCAGCCAAGAGAAAAGCACAAAAGTGCCCTCCTCAAATAGTGGTAGCAATTTTTGGTGATAAAGCTCTGTAATGAGATTCAGTGCACAGGCAAATCTGTCTTTGCTTTGCTCTGTAGGAAGTGTTTGTGACTCTGTAATCTGTTTGATTGGTGATCCTTAACTGAAATGAAACAGACCATGCAATCCCCAAGCTTGCTGTTTTTGTTTCCTTGTCCTCTCAATTTTGCATTGGGAGAACACGACTTTGCCACTGCAAGAGCTCGTGACGCGTGTCATGTGCTGCCCTGACAGATATATCTGTAATAAATGTGTGTCTAATCTTCGTAACAACAGCTGATTACAATTTATCCCGTATCATGAGGGATTTGTCAACCTTTTGGATCCCTGGCCAGCAGGGGTCCGTGAATGATGAATCACAGTGGCTGTCTATGCCCGATTCAGACAGACACATTGACACACATGCTTGTTTTCTGAGAAAAGTAGATTTTTATAGGACACAGAATCATATTACCTTGCTGTATCCTTCAGTCTTGTGATAGAAATAATCCAGTACCCTTTTGATAAAGGGTTCAGATTCAAAGTGCAGCACAGATACTCCTGCTGCATGTTTTACTGCCCCAGGCTTGGGAAACTGGTGCAAGAATGAAACCACAGAGTGCTTCTGCATTTGTGTTGTGGCTTCTGCTGGCTGCTTAGCCCTGTTCAGATAGATCCAAGCTGAAGGTATGAGCAACTGTGCTCATCTGTAAGTTTCATCTCTGCTGGTATTTCTCCTCTTCTCCCCATTATCAGAAAAAAGAGGGCTTGACCCTTGATTAGGTATCTTAACTGTCTTCATATTTCCTGTCCAGGTGAGGCTGGTCTTGAATTGGACAATGGCACAGATACCCAAGTGTCTAGACCAGGCAAACTGCCTGCTACTTACAGCACCTGCTGCCCCAATCCCTCAAGCACCTAGCAAGTGAATAATTCACTGGGGTGATATGGAGGTGGGGAACTGGAAAAGGGGGTTTCTGCACATCAGCAGCCTTTGGTGAAGCTTTGAGGCCATCAGTGGCACCACAGCTCATGCAGCAACCGCATCCACCTTGAGGTCACAGGGATACCTGCCTGCCAGGCTGGGGCCTGCTGCATTAATGCCAGTTGCTTCTTTACATCAGCCACCAAGTGCTGACTTTGCCTTCTGCAGGTGTGGGAAACCTGATTTTGTTTTATAACCAATGGCTTTCATTATCCCACTTACAGTTTTGTCCACATTAAATTACTGTCTAAGTGTTAGCCATGCAGTTTGGTTCTAAGCATGCAGCTTAGATCATGCATCAGGCTCCTAGTCTCTAGCTGTTCTACTCCACTGCATCCAGGGCATGGAAGATGAGCTAATGCACCTGTGGTCTCACACTGGCACAGTGTCAAGAGCACTCCCACGTCCACTGGTTCTGCTGTAGTTATAATTGTGTGATACACACCCAGCACAGAGAAATACAATGCTGCAGGCATAGTTAGGCAGTCTCAAAATTGCACCTATTAAGGGTGAGACTGAACAGGAAACTGAAGGGTACAGCCACTTGCAGAAAGAAAACCTTCCCCTTTTCTTGAAATGTCATTCTTTTCAAAGCATGGAAAGAATGAGGATTAAACAGAGATGTCTCTTTAATGACACGTCAAATGATCTTGAGCAACACCAAGAAACTGCCTGCATGTTTGGGCATTACTTTGAATGTTTGGTAAGAACAGTTTATAGAAGGCCTTTCCAGGCATTTGCACAAACAGAGCTCCATTAAACTGCATACCAAACTGAAGACTCCATTTGCTGATCAAAAGAATGGGAATTTAGAGGGATCCAAGGAGCTGTAATGGGTTGGAGAGAGAACAGCCAAAAAAGAAAGGATGAGGAGGTGTTTTTTCCTCACTTTCTATTGCTCCTGAAGTACAAGCTCCTGTTGAAGGGTTGTAGGTTGTATCACTGTCACCCCATAAAAGGCTAGAGCTTAGAGACAGTCACAGTGCAAGTCGGAATATGGAGATTTCCTGCTGAAAGTGAACATGGAGTAAACCTGATCACAGAGTCTGATCTCAGTCGTCTCACGTCATCTCTTGGATTTCCTTGAACTGACTTTACCTTGAACTGATTCTCATCTGAACCTGAGCACATCAGCTGAAAAACCTCTTTCCTTTCTTGATGATGACATTTCTAGAGATGAAAAATCCAGTACACAACATGAAATAATATTTTGATTGGTTAATTCCCTCCACTATGAAAAATGTGTTTACTTTCCATAGACCACTCAGGTCTGGCTTTAATTTTGAGACACTGAGTTTTATTGTATTTTCATCAGCTATGCTATCATCATAGTTGTATTTTCCAGGGACACATTTTTCAGCCTAAGGCTCTGCCTTTTTCTTTTGGTTCAGGCTGAGTGCTTGAACTTCTTCAAAGGAAATACCTGTTTTACTGTAAAAGTTTTGGGTATTCCTTTCTTACCTGATATCACAGCTCTACTGTAAAATATTTCCTATGAAGCTGGACAGAACTGATAACACTTTTCTGCAATTACTATGTTTGGTTGCTGTACCAAAAGCTGTACCTACATCTGCCAAGGCTGCTGTGCATGTGAATGCAACAGCATTCCTACTGGTCCCAGCTGAGGGCTTAGCCATGATCTGTAGCTGCGGTGGTCCACAGATTACAAAAGGATAGCTAGCACCTACCACCTTCTCTTCACTGCATTTGGTCATGGGTAATGTTCACGTCAGGACCCACAAACTCAGGAGGATTCTCCAAACCACCTCTCCTTTAGACATAGCCACTGCACTTAGGGATCCAAGCGGAACCTAGGACACCATTGTGCTTCATGCTAAATACAGATGCTAGCCATGGCCAGGGATAAACCAAGGAGACAAGAGATGTCAGCATTGCTAATATGGCAGGTGATGGTATCACTGCAGCAACCAGGACACAACAGGAGCTGGACCTTTCTCCAGCTGTTCAGCAGATGACACAGTGGAGGAAAGCCTTACTGTGGGACACAGGATGAGGTAGAAGGTGATGGTGAATGTTTATGGGAAGTTAACCCTGTGCACATAAGAAGTGAGGTGTAGAGGAAAATGTGTTTCAAGCTTCAGTGTTATAGTAATGCAGTTAGGTACAGAGGCATGACCACAGGCAGGGTATGTGCTCTGAGCTGTAGGTCAGCATGTTCTCAGCCTCAGGACCCTGGAGGCTGCTGTACCACAACTCTAGCATGTGCACTGTTTACTCCCTCTGTATAGATATGTGTCATCAGGTCTGGAGGTCTCTGCATAGCCCAGGGTAAGATGTTTGCCATGGCTGTTATACATCTTCAGTCCTGGCTTCCAACATCTTGCAGAGCAAGGAGATGTCAGTTTCACAAATATTTCCAAGTAGTAGTTGTGTTTGGTCATGGCGTGTTTCATTTCGGGAATGGGGTATGGTTTTTGAGATGATAACTTCCAAAACCTGGAAAACACTTAAAATGTTTGCAGTTGTGAATCTGCCCTTGTCTTTGCATCCAAATACAGGTGGTTTTCCTGTTGGCAATGCTTTGTGTATTGTCATTGAAGTCATGGATAAAAATTGGATTTCTTCATGATTCCACCTTAAGTTTCAAATATGACAAAACCAGTAATAAAATAATCACAAACCTAATTCACAAGGCTAAAAAGCAGATTTAGTGCTCTCCAGATCTAAGAAGAAGAAACAATTAGAATCCTTCTGCTAGTCATCTGTTGAAATTTTCTTGTGAATTGCTCCACAGTTGCTTGTTTTCTTTTAAATAAGCAAACAATCAAAGAACAGACTACTTCCCTAAATTAGATTTATCAGTGTTTATTTGTCTTTTTCCATAGAAATTCAGGCCTTGTCCAGACTTGGAGTCTGTAACAATGACTGATACTGTATTGTGAGAAATGAAAAAGATGAATACAGCTGAGGAACAGATATACTGTCAGGACTTTCATTGGGTTGAGCTACGTTGACTTGGTTTTATTTGTCTTTTCCAGAAATATGAAAGCCAATTTGCATTAAAACTAGAAACACGATGATGTAAGTAATTTTTTTCCATAAACATGTCATATTAAAAAAAAGGCTTAAACTGCTTTGTACACAGCATGCACAAAACCCCCATCTCCAGCAAGGAAAATATCTACAACTCCTTATCTTTTCATGCGCTCTTAGGTAACTAAAAAGAAAGGATGATAAAGATCTAATATACTTTGTTTAAGACACTAGAATTAAAACTACTTTTTGGTCTGGTGTCTGTTCTCCCACCCCCAATTACACAATTTACTTCTGATCAGATTAAACATTTCATCCATAAAGTATGTGATGTTCTGTTTTCAGTTCTCATTTTAGGCAAAATTGGGGAGGGACAAAAACATAGAAATGAAGAAGCAGATCTTTCAGTAGAACATTTTGAAACATAAGTCTTAACTTTTGTCCCCTACGTATTTTGTTTGCAGCTGAAACAGTGATAAGTCTGGCACAAGAGCGAATCATGTCAACTGGCTTATACATACATTTTTTGGCAGATGAAAATAATCAACTAAGGAAGGTCTTCAGCTCAAAAAGCATCTTCCCTGAGAGTGCTAGCCAGGAGTGGCTGCTTTTAAAACCACCTAAACTTCATAGCCTGCTACTACAGGTAAGAAGACAGAGAAAGTAAACTTAGAACAATTAAAAACTTAAAAAGTTGTAAGTGACTTCTACTTGTGATGTGGTTGCATCTCTAGCAATGTTTTCCGTATGCTGACACACATGGTTACTCAAGAGCTCAGCACTTGGTCCTGACGTGCAGGCCTCCAGAGCCAAAATAGTAGGGACATTTACAATACAATGATGTAACTTTCTCCCACATTTTGTAAATGTGGTTGCATGTTGCAACCTTCCTTGGTTTTTAATAGTAAAGGAGCAATGTTTAGCTCACAGTCTGTGCTGTAACATGAAAACTCTTTTCCTAGCAGCTCAGCTGGTGTTTTGTAACTTGGTGGAGAACTCTGTGTTCACAGAGTTATCATCCATGACTTAATCCGGATACAACTTTCTGTTCCTCTATTTTTGCAAACAGAGCTGACCAGCACTGCTCTTCTACAGTGGATGATGGCTTCATGTCCAATCTTGACAGCAAAGGAATCCACCACTTCCCTATAGCACTGGGGGTTGTTGCGCCCATGGCCAAAATCTTGTGTGTCCCACAGAGACAGAACAGGGCAAAGTATCCACAATGACACCTTACGTATATCTTCCTGCTGCCCCTACTGTCCTATTCCAGGGACAAGAGGAAAGCTGGAGCTATTTCAACTTTGGACTTGTCTACATGGGAAAATTAATCAGAAGACCAATACTGCAATAGTCCCCTGTCTCTTCCTCTAGCTTGGTTTATCCCAGCCTGGAGCAGAATTACTCCAAATCCCACTTGACAATAAAGTCATCTTTTACGAGATAACCATTCTCCCCCCTGCAAGGAGACCCACACACAGTCCTCAGGGAGCTCTGGGAGCACTGAGCAGCTGAAGGCAATGCCTCTCCCCTCTCCTCCCTTCCTGCCCCTTGTGCTGGCTTGCAGGGGTGAGCAGGAATGAGCTGGAGAGGGCAGAGAGCTTGGAGCTGGGCAAGGAGATGAGGGGACATTGATGGGGGAACGACAACGAGCTCTGGGTGTTTCCTGGATTGTGCTGCTGAAGCTGCTCTGATTTATAGCCAGGCCAAAGAGGCCTCTTCTAAGGAGAAGCTCTCATATTTCTCTTACCACCCACACACAGGAACAAGGAACAATAAGGATCTTGACCCACTTTCCACTCACATTCCCAGCCCCATCCCTGTTGTCTGTAAGTGGGCAAAAAAAGCACTGTGGGAAAAGAGAAGTCAAGTGGTGGCAGCCAGGGCAGGGGAAGTCTTTGCTGGGCTGTAGTGAGAAAGCAGAAGCCATGTTCCCCCTTTTCCCTGCCTTGCTTTAGGGTTTGCAGATCTCTGGCTGGCTGGCTGGGTGAAAAAGCCTGTGCTAGCCTGGTGACTTAAAACCAAAGCAAAACAAGGGCCTCTGTGAGCAACTGGCGAACCAGCTCTCCTATGTGGACTCCTTCACTAGACTTCTCCTGATCTGCAGATGCAGCTCATGACCAGGAGTCCCATGCAGGTACCTGGCATTGCCCACCATCATGTCAGATCTCAGGCCTCAGATTAGGGCAGGACCCTCTATAAGGTGTTTGTTTCAACATTTCCAACTCACTGAGGAGGTGCCAAGGCACAAATTTTACAGACTCCCTGTCTCAGCATGGCAAACTTGCCTTATGCAGCTGGGTGAAAACAATGTCAGGAGGTGGCTGGCTGCTGTCAGCATCTGTTCCTGTTGCTGTGCCATAACCCTGGGGTGAGTTGGGCCTTTATGAGCAAAGGACCAAGACGTAAGGTAAGTGAGGCTGGCTGGGACCTCCGGTGCAACGTTCTGCTTAAAGCAGGGCCAGTTTAGGGGTTACATTAGATCCATAAGGAGGCAAACCTGCTGATGGTAATGAAGCATTGCTATAGAGTTACACACTGCAGGCACTTTGTGATACCACGGGGTGAAAGAGGAGGTAAAACCCAAACCGAACAAACCCTAGAGTGTCTGGGTTGTGTGCATGACATAAATGGCTCCCACTGGTCCCCTGCAGCCCCATTAGTGAAAAGTTAATCCCTGCAGTGAAGAAACCGTAAAAATGCAGCTGCAGTGGCCAGTTCCTTATCTGAGCCATGCTTAAACTCTATTTCTGGAGAGCCTTATGGGAAGAGCTGGGAGACCTTCTACCTAACACCGCCTCTACTGCTGCAGCAGAGATTTGCAAGAGCAGCAGAATCTCAGTATACTAATTCTCATTTCAGCTGCATCCTCTGCACATCCGCCACAAGCGGAGGGAAACAGGGACAGTAATTGGCATGGAGCAGCAGCTCGGTTGTGCAAATGACTGAGAATACTGTGGGAGATATTAACAGGCAGCTGTTAAGGCATTACTAATAATTTTCAGAATCATTTCTATTCCTATTCTTCCCCTGACGGCCTGAAAATGCTGTAGGTCCTTTTAAAACCATTCTGCCTGCTAATAGTTTATTGCTTTGTTTGATAGGTTGCTTGAGGATAGCTAGGCAGCTTGTGTGTTTTAGTCCCCTCTCCCTTCAAATAGTGAGAGCATTTTAATATTTCTTGGAGAAAAATGGATGTAATAAAATATGAATATCTAGGGCCCAATCACACTGCAGTGGAAAGCTCTGCCCTGTGAGGCTGTCTTGCGCTGGCTCTTCTGGTTGCTGTGCTCTGCAGAGCTGGCAGCACCACCAGTGCTCTGGTAAACATATTCTTACTTCAAATAGTGGAAATGTTCACTCATTTAGGAAGGGCAGATGGAGCATATATGGACCTCTGTGGTCTCCACTGATGGAGTTTTCTTTTTTGAATGAGTCGTTGCACATGGCTGACCTGGGTAGTCACACAATTATGGACAGAATTGCCCGAGCTCTGGGCTTATCACTAACAAGGGTCATTTTGGACTGTGTCTTCAAGGCTTGATAACATGGAAGTGATAGCAACACCAGCACTGAGAACTAGTAGTACTGATCCACTGGAGAAGTGTAGTGTTTGGGACTTAGCAGCAGACACCATAAAACCAAACAGCATTTCTCTGAGTATGGGTAAAGTTTGCACAAGGCTTCTCCAAGGGAAATGACAAATCCCCTGTTCCTGAGCTGTTTAAGGCTGGAGTAGGCAGAGAAACAGGGAGCACTGCACAGGGACTGGCCTCACTGCTCCTCACTGGCAGGAATCTCCTTTCCTTGCAAGCATAAGTCATGGGACTGGGACTTAATCACGGCACTGGGATCTAGCTGGGGATTTTAGAGATTGCTTAAAAATGTGTAATGAAAATTGTTCATGTGTATGAAAGAGAGAAGGAAGAATGTGTGAATTCTGGAAGGTGCTGCCTCTGGAAAAGGTGTATCCCGAGCTTTTAGATCCTGGCAAAGCCCCTTTAAGAGAAACTGGAATTTTCCCTGCATAAACAACGATGCCTGTATTTGTTTAAAAGGAAAAAAAAAAAAAGTTGGGAAGCCAGCAGAGCAGACGTAAAGTCCTGATGAGGAAGAAAAGGAGTGTTGTGCCCAGGACATTGGGGAAACTGTTCAAAGCCAGTTCATCCTTACGCAGAAACTGTCCCTGCTGGCTCACAAGCGGCAATGGTCAATTGAGCTATGGGGTAGGCAGCCCGTGGGGCAGGAGATTTGGGACCCAGTCCTGACTTCAGCAAGGGACCTGGATTCTTGGCATCTCCCAGGGGCTAACACTCGAGATAGGGAAAAACAAACAAACAGGTCTGTTCAAAGGCATGTAGGAGGAATTATATTTCTTTTGGAAGAGCTCATCTTCCTCCGTAGGGCAAAAAGCACCCTGTGAGAGAACAAAAACTCCCTGCAAATGGGAGGAAGCTAAATGGAAGAACTGCATCTGCTAGGCTGCTCTTTGCCTTCTGTCAGGGTAAAAAGAAAATAATAGAAAAAAGAAATAGGAAAAAGGATAAGATTGATTCAAGATTCATCCGACCAAAGAGAGGCAGCACAAGTGGGAACAGGTCTCTTTAGTCTGATAATCAAGCATCTAGCTAAAGGAGAGGGGGAATTCTGGTCTCTATACCTGAGACTGAGTTTCAAACTGCCTCTGCTTGATGGAAAACACTTTCCTCCCTTTCTGCACTTCACTAATAGGGCCAAGGTGGGAGATGGGCACTGGAAACTCTCCCATGGCAGTGCAATCCCACCCCAGACCTTGCGATGGAGGCAAGCAAGTTACAGGTACATGAACTAGGATGGAAGCTGTTGCTCCACCATTATCCCCCCTGGCCATGCTCAGGAGGGCGAGCCCATACCCAGGTTTCCATAAAGGAAGGGTATGGCCACCAGCTTTCCAGAGGGACTGCAGGTTTTAGTCCCTGTGTGTGTTGCCTTTAGCTCCATGTGCACATACCTGGGATGGGTCTAGGAGAGAGGGTTAGCCAGCTCCAATACACAGTGGTGATGGCCTGGAGTGGGTTAACCACTCAGTGTGATGCCCTCTTCTGTTTCCAAACTACAACCTCTAGTCTCAACTTACCCACCTCCCACTGGGCTCTGGATTTCCCTCTGTGGCCCAAACGCTGAACATTAAGTAATGCATGGACAAACCTGTTTTCTTTTGTGGTTGTGTTCACACAACAGTGGAAGAAAATACTGAACAAATAGGTTTTTGATATGCAGGCTTCAAGGGGATTCAGGTCTTCTGAATCAGGTCTTCTCCATTTCCTCTCTCATTTTTGTTCATGATGCAGAATATTATGGCAAAATTTCTATATAGGAGTTTGGGCTATTTTGCTAATTATCTAGAGAGCATCTTTCAAAGAACACACCCTTTTGCATGTGCAGGGATTTCGTTATACTTGTTATACTTGTTATTCACTGTGTTTTGTTAAGCTCCTTTACTTTATTGTAAATGCCAAGAGATGTAGAGGCAGAAAGGAGAAAAGTGGCAAGATCTGATGATGTTTCTTCCTGAAACCACAGAATTATCTTAAAACTCTCCTATTCATAACTGAGACTTATCACTTGAAAATCTCAGTTTGCACAGAGCAAATTATGCTGTCACTGGCCAACCTATTTTATTTATTTTTAATAAATTCCCTTATTGTGTGGTTCCAGACTGCACATCACATGGCACACATTGCAAATGAGATGCTGGAGGTCTTCCTCAAAGATCGTGCACCCTAGCCTGAATTTTTAATTCTTCTTGCTTACAGGGATGCCTTTTATTCCCTCTGTAGTGTTTTGAGCGTTCATGTGTCTAGCATATGAAGCACTGCTGCAGTCACATGGCTGTGTGAACACAGACAGTTCAACTAGTGCTCTGCTTCACACAGAGAGAAAGAGAAACATGAGACACAAGATGAACTGCAATGGCTGAGATCTGGCAATTCTTTGCCAAAATTTGGACCATCCTTGGAGAGGGCATCAAAAAGGCTTTCCACTAGTGCTGTGAACATGTAAATTTGTTTTTAGGTCTTGCTTCGTTTTCAATTCCATGAGGCTTTTTTAGCAAAAATACAAGAAATTCCAGTATCTGGTTGGCATTTATAGAGTACCAGTTTCAGAGAGTTTTACTGAACTCTCCTGAGGACCAGATGCTCTGTTTCCACTTTGAACAAGCTGCTGCTGATCCTGTTCATTGCCAGATATGGTCCTGCACCACAAGAGTGATGGTTCAAAACCTACTTATGGAGAGGGAAAACCCAAAAGAGATTTGGCAGAACACCAGCTTGTTGCTGCTAGTGGCATGCATAAGGGTGAGTGAATGAGATTTGTACTAGAATAGCAGCAGCCACGTCAGAAAGGCTCAGTCTTAGATATTTTACCTGGGGCCATCCAGAAACCTATGGAGGAACTGGGAACTGAAAAGAGAAGAAGGGGTGAATCCTGCAGCAGCCCTCTTGGTCCTTACCATAGTAACAGCCACCTTGGCTCTAATGTGGCCAGAAATCCCAGGCTGATGAGAGGACCTCTAGGTTTGAAGATTGCACCAAATAGTCTGAATAGTCAAATACCACAGTGCTGGTGAGGAACTCCAGGAGGACTTCACAACATGATAAAAGTTGACAAAAAGATGGCAGATGAGCATCAATGTAGATTAATTTAAAGTTAATATACCCAAGAACATATAACCCAAATAGAGTGTATGTGATGCTAAACTAGGAAATAGTTACCAGGCAATGGAATTGAAAGTCATCACTGACAGCTCTCTGAAATCATCAGCTCAATGTGCAGTGACTGCCAAAAAGCCAAAAAAGTGTAAGGTACCAGAGGAAGGGTACTGAGAGGAGTTTGTACTTTTTTTGTTGCTGAGCAAAAGAGGGTGCTTGTTTTGATGCTGAGCAAAATCATGGTGTACCTTTACCTCAGCCCCTGGGTGAGGTGCTCCTCTCCAGTGCTTAAGGACAAGACAGCAGAGAGTGGTGGGTGTTGGGGGATCACATGGGAAAAGGAAGAGCAGAGAATGGCCAGGTATAGTCAATCTTCCTCCCATTGGTGGAGATATAGTACTGGGATAAATGATCCATCATATGCCCCATTTCTCATGCTCCTAACCTGTGCCTGGTCGTGGCTGAAAGCTAAGACCTAAGGCGAGTGTAAGAATAGGGTGCAGCAGGCAGATGTTTCCCAGAATAGCCTCCTCGACATGGAGTGTTTGTGGCTCACAGATTCCCCAACCCGGAGGTGTTGCTTTACTTAGGATGAGATCTTACCTTTTTAAAAAATACCAAATTTAAAAAATAATAAATTTTTAAAAGAGAGCAAAGAAGGCTTTGAAGTCAGACTTTGTTATTAGAGGTGACATGCCAACCGTGGGTAGGTGCCAACTGCAAGACTTTATTTTGACTGCTGTCTCATGAGGAAAGCTGGCAGCTGGAAGGACAGAGAAGCATGTCCTGAAGAATTTAGCCAGACTGCTTTCAACAGCCTCTTTGATGCCGGGTGGCTGAGAAAACAGAGTGGTGTTCTCTGTGTGTGCTATGACAAAATACCCTTTAATAATTGTCTTCTGGGTCACACTGGGTTGCAACTTGGACCACTGCATTGGCCTGACCCAGTACAGGATACCAGGTTTTGCCTCTGGAAGGCACACTAGCATGGGTTGCGTTTCAGGATGCTTCATTGCTTCTGTTATCATGAAATTTCTTTTCCTGCTGAGGGGGGGAAATAAACAACTTCCCTTTAGTCTCTAGGTTGAAGCTAGCATTGATCAAGAGGCAACTCAAGTTGTGACTCAAGAGGCAACTAAACTTTCAGTCTAAATGGAGAAACAGTTCTCTGTTCAGGGAAAACAGATTGAAAATGAAACTTGTACAGGTTGAGAGGATGATTAGGGTTCTGCAGCCACAGCGTGAGAAAGACACACAGGGAAAAAAAAACCAACATATTCATTGTGACAGACTGACCGTACATTTCCTGCAAAATAAGGCATCTTCCCCTGTTAGGATCACAGCTGAAAGGCATGTAACACGTAGCACTATGTTTTTAAGGATGTTACCCAAAGCCCAGGAAAACTTGTTGGTTTGAGGGGATTTTTTTCCACTTGGTGCCAAGCTCTGGCTCAGCTCAGGGGAGTGCAGCTCTCTATGCCTTTACATCCTCTTAATCTTTAGTGTGAGACTAGTTTGTGGGTTAACACCCACTGAGATGCATCTAAACCTGCAGCAGTGGTGGATGTGAAAGGAGGAATGATGTGGGAAGCTTCTTTTCTTTCACAGGGACAATGAAAAGCAAGGCTGAAGGACGGTGTCTGCAACTGTTCAGGGAAGTCCAAGGACCATGCTGCAAGACTCACAGCTACTCTTTCAGCTCCCTCCATTTAGAAAGGCACATCTTCAGAAAAAACCCACATCCTTTCTGTCCAAATTTTTAACATACTGCCAAAACAGGGTGACTACTCTGAAAGCAACATCAAGACACAGCCACAGTTTGGTAGAAAGAAGCACCATTTTTATTAATAATCACATTTACTGTTTTCTAAATATGTGCTTAAGAGCAAATGTTTTCGTATTTCCTACTTTTCTGTAAGATAGAGGAATGGAGAAAAGTATAGAAAGGCTGGAGTACCTCTCCTATGAAGACCAGCTGAGAGAGTTGGGGTTGTTCAGCCTGGAGAAGAAAAGGCTGCGTGGAGACCTTACAGCAGCTTCCAGTACCTAAAGGGAGCCTACAAGAAATGTGGAGCAGGACTTACAAGGGCACGTAGTGACAGGACAAACTGAAAGAGGATAGATTTAAGATTAGACATTAGGAAGAAGTTCTTCCCTGTGAGGGTGGTGAGACACTGGTGCAAGTTGCCCAGAGAAGCTGTGGCTGCCCCATCCCCAACAGCATGCAAGGCCAGGTTGGACAGGGCTTTGAACAACTTGGTCTAGTGGAAGGTGTCCCTGCCCATGGCAGTGGGGTTGGAACTGGATGAGCTTTAAGGTCCCTTCCAACCCAAACCATCAGCCTATGCACTAAGCTCCCTACCAGTGTAAATTTGGCTGTTTGGGTGGTGGTTTGTGGATTTGTTTGGGGTTTTTTAATCCTGCAGAGACTGAAGGTGTTGGTTGGATGGATAATGGTTGAACCAACAAATAAACAAAAAAAAAGGAACTTCTCTAATTTGGGAAGTTTCAAAGAGCACACACACACACTATTTTCTTATTCAAGAGGTTTTAATGAAGGCTCATTTTAAAACCTCTCACACTGTACAACACAATTAAATGTACATCAAGCTCAGATAAAAAATAAAGCTTTCTTACAAAGTACATTTTTCCAGTGAATTTTTTCTTTTTTTTTTCTTTTGCAGTAAAAATAGCTGCTACATAAATCCCTCCTGATCTTTGAAAAGGAGTCACAGTTATTTCCAAAAATAGAATTCATATTTTAATCATACAGGATAAACTGCAGGAAGAGACAAGTCAACTGAAAAAATAAGGCTTGTATATAAATTTTTTTCAGAGGACATGCATAGAAGTTGAAAAACAGATGCCATTTATAAAGAAAAAAGGTAATTTTAGCCATATTAATATTTTCATTTTCAGTTACAGAAGAAACCACAAACAGGCCCTTTATGTCCCAGAATATAACATCAGTGTCTTGTAAAAATGCCAAAATGCACAAAGAATTGCCAACTTCAGTCTTGGCAAAATACTGAGCCAGCCCTCCCTCCCCACCCCCCCATTTCATATCGTAGGCATACCATATGCATGCACACTGAGCACTTATGTTGTCTCTCAGGCCAATTAAATATTTGCAGAAGGTTGTATATCCTAGACAAACATGAAAAAACTCCATTTGATAAGTTTACATTCATCCTATTTCAAAACACACACACAATTAGTTTAATTTACACTATACAGTATCTGTTAAATAGGAGCATTACAGAGTTTCAAAAAGAATCACAGAATATATACAAACTGAATATTGAAATGGTACAATTTTCCTTCCCTTCTTTACAGGGTCTTTTCTTTTGTTAATGGTTGCTACATCTGGTTTTGGACACAGAGTGTTTATGTACCTATGCAGCACATTTCTGGAGGAGCAATAATAATAACAATAATCATAAAACGTGCTTTAGAACAAAACTAATATCAATTCTCCTTACTGCTCATTTAAAATAAATTACCTTTGTTGGGGTTCTTTTTGTTGCCTTTTTTTTATAAATTGCATTGTATTACATGTAAGCAAGGACAATGGTATTTTAAAATATCTGAGCAACAGTTCTGCTGCATCACTGGTTTCTCATCCAACCTTTGGTTTTAAAGCCAACCCAGTTTTCATGGCAGTGAAAGTAGCCAAAACACTTCATACGGCAGTACAGGCAGTTGAAATGCTTAACCTGAGAGCATTTCCATATCTTCATGACAGAGCTAGGGTCTGTGCTGACTTCCATGCTGCTCAAGTGCCCGACATGGCAACACCCAAGGCTACCGATGAAATAAGGCCTCTTCCTTCCAGCTCTCCCTGGTTACAAAAAAATCGGGTAAGGTCCTTATTTCCCAACAGTTGCAGCCATCTGAACAGCCAGAAGAACTGACTACTATAGACGGTTCCCAGACACAGTCCCAACGCGTGATCTTCGCCCCTGCAGCATCACGTTGTTGGGCTCAGTCCTCCGTGTCGGGCTGCACCCCCAGCATTGCGTGCAGCTCCTCTGCTGTGTACCCCAGCAGGTTCTGCAGGTCACACACGAAGCGATACACATAGCGTTTCCCTGAAGTCTTGTGGATGATGTTCTTGTCATAATAGTAGCGTAGGCCTCGGCTGAGCTTCTCATAGTTCATTTTTGGCTTGTTTTTTCTCCTTCCCCACCTCCGTGCCACCTGGCAGTCCGAAAAGAAAGCGACATGCAAAGGGTTTATTCAAGTCATGTTCTTCTAGTCGGTGGCTGATAAACAGTTATCAAAGCCTTTTTTCAGTCACAGCGTTTTACTTGCTTTGGATGTCCCAAACTCAGGTAAGAGAAGAGTTTGTGACTGATCCCACAACTGAACATACCCCAGGAAATTATCAGTCGCAGCTTCAGGAGAAAGTGGCTGATATCAGCGAAAAGGATAGCTATTGATAGTGGATAGGTCAAAATGTGTTTAAGGAGATCAGGTTTACAGGAAATATAGTCTCTCCTCTCTCAAGAGGGCACCATTTAACTGTTAATTTGCTATTGAGCAGCACAGGACAGGTCTTTAACTGGAAGCTGAATGAGATGAAGTTTGTTGGGGTCAATGACTTCTTGCCCTTTTTCTTTTTTATATAAAGCCTTTGTATCACATCCCTTGATACAATAACTTTCCTGCTGGTAACAGTATCAGAAAATGAAAATGCATTCTGCTTATTTTTAATGACTAAAGCTCTAGTTCCCAAAATACTTCAAAAGTGGCACTACTGTGTATCTAAAAGAACAGCAACAGGCAGAAGGCATTTTCCCCATGCCTTTGGGCAGTCTAAGGCATTGTTGATTCAACTACATCCAGTAAACTAATCTTACAGTATTCCACTGTCTGAAGAACAAACTTAGTATACTACCTTTACATTTCAAGCTATAAAATGTGCTCTCCTAACTACAACCAAATGCTAATATCCTTGGGTGGGAGGAGAGGGGGAAACATTCCACAGCAATCCTGACTGTACAATAAAGCATTTGCATAAAGATGAGATTTCAGCAAGTGTCTGATCGTGTAAATGCTTTAATAAAGACTAGGCCCACAGATGGTGGATCAGACCTTAAATATTTGTGCTCATCACAGTTAGCCACATACCTCATCTGGGTCAGCAAGTTTAAATTCCCATCCATCTCCTGTCCAACTAATGAATGACTGACATGACTTGTCAGTCAGTAGCTCCAGAAGGAATTGCCATAGCTGTATAGGTCCACTGCCTATTGAGAAAAAAAGGGTGGGGAGAAGCCACAATTAATACTTCTGCAAGCTCTTACCATAACCAATGTATGTAACCATACTCATATCTCAGGGTAGATCTTGCATTACTGTGATTTTTTTTTTTTTAGCAAAAAACCTAAGGTTTTTCTCTGTAACACAAATCTGATCCTATACATGTTAAAATGAAAAGTCTACTTTTCCAAGGAAACACAGGATTTGACACAAGGTATGGCTTTCCCTTTCATATGGATTCCTTAACCTTCACTGCTGCTTCCCATCAGCTGCATTCAAAGCTCCAGGGCTTGTCCTGCAGTCCTTGGCTTGGCAAGTGTTCTAAAGCAAAAACAGATTTCGGCAAGGACTGCAGGAACAAGTTCTTAACAGGCAAGCCAACACCTGCAGAAACTCTCAAGTACGGTAGTTTTATTTCCAAGTTTCCCTCTTTTTCAGACAGATCAAAAAGTGCATTTGATTTTTAAGTGCTCTGGCACACCTGCTTCTCCTTGCTTTAGATGGATGGATCTATGATACTTTCTTCAGTAACATTTAAAATTATTACTCTTATGAGTAGTGGTCTCTTGACTACATTGCAAGGCATACCTTACAACTATCAATAAAGTCCATACTAATAGAGAATACTGATGTTACATAAGAATAGGAGTGACCATTTTGCTTCACTACTTACCAGTAAAGCCAGCTAGAATTGCTGCCGGTATAACTGGTTTCCCTTGCTCTACAGGATCACTTCGTTCTTGAATATAGTCTTTGAAAGACATTGTAGGTTTGCTCAGACACAAGGACTGGCTACAGTCATCTTCAAAACTCTCATAGGATGGCACCCGCTGTAAATCCACTAATGACGACTGGCTGTTCCAGGACTGTAGCATTGAATCTGAGCTTTCATAACTTTCCGCACCGCTGTCACTAGATTCATGCTCCCTAAGCTTACCTTTATGAAACAAACAAACAAACAAACAGTGTTGGGTTTGGTTAGTTGTTTTTTTTTATCCTACTCAATCCAGCTTGTATATATCAATTACGGAAAGGAGGAAAAGCCATACAGAATATGACCTCAGACCCATGGTTATGCAGATAACAACTCACCAGAATTATCTATGAGCAAGTTCAGATTGCTTCTTGGGAAATCTTGATTTACTGCACAGTAGTTGACACCAACAGCATCTGCTTGGGTTTTAGGGAACAATGAAAACTCTTGCTCTGGATTAAGGAGATTCGGTCCTGTGGAAGTCTGACAGACATCAGTCAGGAGGCTAGGTTTGGGATAACTGAGGGCTTTAGGGTATCCAGGCATTTGCATACCATATGAGTTCTGATCTACATTTACAGCTGAAGAAAGAAATAAAAGAATTAATTAGATGATTTGCCCTGCAGACCCTTAAACACACTAATAAACCTCCTGCACCTCACTACAGTTGTGCCACAAAGAAATTATTTACCCATGAATACCTAAGAGAAAGATAGATGCTACAGATCTACTGAAGTCAATAAGAAGATCCCCATCTAATGGGCTCCACATCAGATTCTGTAAATCTCCCTCTGTAACTTGCTGAT